AAGCAATTCATGTTTGTTGTGTTGGAATTAACTGAGTGGTCCCAGGATCCTCAAGGGGAGCAGCTGCAGAGTGGATCAGCATGTTCAGCAGCTGCTGGTGAAATTCAACTGTTGGGGCAGCGTGGGTCATATGCTGGCCACATGCACACATACACACACATGCACACATGTTACAGAGGGCTAATGTATAAGGACCAGGCAATTGGTTGGTCAGTTGAGAAAATGTTATTAGCTCTGGTTAAAAAAGAAAAGTTCCTCCCTAGAATACTTGGTGCTTTTCCCCTAGAGACTTCAGGGAAGGTGGGTGCAGAACCTGAATGCTACCTGGTTAAGTATTTCCTTGTGAGCTGCTGCCTTGTGACTTTCAGTGGCATCCAGAGGAAGCATTCTTAACTTTAAACACTTTTCTTGGGGCCACGTGCCAAAGACCCCTGAGGGTGTGTAGCTGTGGGACTCTCCAAAGTGCTGGTGTCTGTTAATCCCATTGTACTCACTCACTGTCTGCTCTTTGGACAAAGCCCTTGGGAAAGCCTCATGGTGAGGATGGTAAGTAGGTTTCATCCCACATGCCAATTCCAACTGAATGGTACTGATACCAAGGGAACACAGTGCATAAGCTCAAATCCCTGTGCACAAGGAGTGCATAGCCTAGCTGCAGAGACAGACAGTAAACAGTTATAGAAGACAAGTGCCAAGACAGGGAGGAAGGAAGAGTGATGGGCCAAATTCTAGAGCAGCTACTCAACGCAGTGCTCGACAATGAGGAGCTTACTAGATCGTAAATCAATGCAGCATTTCTTCCATCTAGAAAGTCTTGCCACAAAAAGCGTCAATGGACTTCAGCAGTGTGTATGGTGATGTAGCCAATATACATTCAGGCGCAAGTTCCGTTACTCTGGGTATGTGGGTAATAAGCAGTTTGCTGACAGACAATACAGTGGTATAGTTCTAGAAAACCCTAGAAGATAAACACGGGGGGAAAATGAGATTTGGTTAGAAATACAGCCTTTGCCATCAGACAGACTCAGGTTTGCAACCTTGAGAAAGTTACTTAACCTCAAAGCCTCAGTTTTCTACTCCGTAAATGAGGCAATTAGTGCCTACTTTATAAATTTGCGTGAGAATTACGTAAGAAAATGTTCATGGATCTCAAAGCCTAGTATTGACCAAGAGCACTCATCCAGCGTGTTTTTCCCCCTCTGTGAAGTCATTGATATGATTACGGTTAACTCTCCCTGGGAGTTTGCAGTGAGCTTCGCAGAGCAGGTATTGCGTGCTGACACTGAGTCCAAACGCTGTCAACTGAAATAGACCCCAAACAGGCGACTTGCCAGGTGTAGGCAAACACTCATTTCTCTTAGGCCCTCAGCCTGCATCTGTTTTCTATGACTGGGATAAAATGGCTTCTAACTCAGAATTCCTTAGTCATAGAGGCATGTCAATCCCTTAAAAAGAGTTTCTGTCAGGGGCTGGCCCCGTGGCCGAGTGGTTAAGTTCGCGCGCTCTGCTGCAGGCGGCCCAGTGTTTCGTCAGTTCGAATCCTGGGCGCGGACATGGCACTGCTCATCAGACCACGCTGAGGCAGCGTCCCACATGCCACAACTAGAGGAACCCACAACGAAGAATACACAACTATGTACCGGGGGGCTTTGGGGAGAAAAAGGAAAAGATAAAATCTTTAAAAAAAAAAAAAAGAAAAAAAAAAGAGTTTCTGTCATTAATATTCATCCTTGGGTTCAGGGTCATGGAAAAACTAGCTTAAGTCCTATAAAAAATATTTATTCTTTTAGCAGAATGTTAGTACTATTTGCATGTACAATAATTTCCTTCAACAAAATAGTTTTGCCTTATTTATAAAGTAATTTGCAATCCGTAATTTAATAAAGTACATATAAGATATAAAATAATTCTACCTACATTTAATATGTTTGATGTAAAAATATTAAAAGTAATCAAAGCTGGCTCAAAAGTACTTAGTTATTGTTAATTGTCCTTTGTATATATTACCTGAAAAAAAATCTTTGTCACGTTTGCTTCTATAGAATGGAGGAGGAGAGAGGAGTGAAGAAAGGGAAAAAGGCAATAACATTTATTGATGCTCACTATTTGCCAGCAAAATTCATGTGTGTCATCTTATTTCATCTTCACAACCACCCTAGGAGGTTAGTGGAGTCATCATATTTTAAAAATGAAGAAATTCAGAGTCAATGAGTTACATAACAATGTTGTTACTTATTAAGGGAGGGGGTACTGTGATGGCAGGGCTGCTGTTTACCACCTAGATAAAGAAGCAAATGAGCTTTTAGAATATTATGTGGAATTCATTCAAGGGACACTGAGTGCCTCTTGCAAGTAAGACACCAAATTAGTCCCTGGGAGAATTAAATAGATGCGTGGAACCAGCCTTGGGGGTTTGATGAAGGAGGCATGTACACAGACCTTGGATGCTAGTTAATGGCCCAGGAGCTAATTGCTTAGTTCATCCGTTAGTGTTCATTTCTGTTTGCTGATATAATCATTAGTTAGAACAATTATTTTAGTCTTAATTGTAGGCATCATTATCGGTGAAAATGAAATAATCTTTAAGTCTTCAAACTTCATTGCCATAATTATCTTCTACAGCACTGTGGCCGTATCTGTGTTAGAGCACACACTGGCTGTCCTCCTCGGTGGACTGTGATGCACTGAGATAGGGTCATGTTTCATTCATCCATGGTGCCTGGATGCCTAGTCCATTGCTTGGCATCTCATAGGTGTTCAATAAATATTTTTGAATTATTTAAAGTATTATCAGAGCAAATTGTTCTTAAAAGTAAACAAATAGTCTTAACAATCTGTCTAAATCAAATTCCAATTAAAAAACTTGTTAATTGCTTTTTTCTGCTTAGATATCAGCTAACATGTACATATCTATTGTCAACAACCCATAATCATTGTGCAGAGTTTTTAACGATTGAAAAGACTGCTTCCCCCTCCCCCCACTCTACAGTTGAGTAGCTTTTGTCAAGTATATTGCCTTGATTATTAGAAGTGTATTTCTTCTTCTTCTCCTTTTGTCTTCAAAATTAGTTTATGTCATCATAATTTTCACCTTTGTTCTAATAGGCAGCCAAAGGTTACTGCCAGAGTTAAAAAGAAAGCCCTCCTTTGAACCTCTGAGTATTTCTTTCTTTTTTTTTTTTTTTAAAGATTTTATTTTTTCCTTTTTCTCCCCAAAGCCCCCCGGTACATAGTTGTGTATTCTTCGTTGTGGGTTCCTCTAGTTGTGGCATGTGGGACGCTGCCTCAGCGTGGTCTGAAGAGCAGTGCCATGTCCGCGCCCAGGATTCGAACCGACGAAACACTGAGCCACCTGCAGCAGAGCGCGCGAACTTAACCACTCGGCCACGGGGCCAGCCCTGGAACTCTGAGTATTTCTAATACTCAACCCCTTTGATTCCTATATTTAAAGCTGCAGAGTTTGCCTTTTTTCCGTATGTACTAAATTATCTAACACAATAGGTTTTAGATACGATACAATGTTATTTTTTCTATGATGGAGCACATTACCTGTCAATAAAGCTAGCGTACCCTTATCTGAACAATCCTTGTTTAACTAAGTCTGATCTTACTCTCTTGAGAGGAAAACTGAGATTTAAATTTTTTCATAAGTCCTCCTGGAGTTTCTTTGGTTTTTCGTACTTCTAGATAGCATTACCAGTATAAAATTACATAGTTGTGCTTTGTAGGTTGATATTTTTAATCTGCTGAAGACCTAAACTCTTATTTCTTTGTAGTATTGGTGTGTGTTTGCATAATTACTGTCTTTGTTGGAGGCCAACATTTATAGAATCATTATTATATGCTAAGTGCTGAGTTGGGTCCATGAATTAGTTCATCACGTCAACATTAATGCAGAGAGGTAAGCACTATCATTATTCCCACTCTGCTGGTGACAGAACTGAGGCTTAGGGAGGTCATGTTGCTCACCAAATTTACATAGCTAGGGAGCGGCAGATCTGGGACCAAATCGCTGTGTACCTGAATCTACAGCCTGAGGTCTTAATCTCCATGTTGTACTGTGTACTGGGAGTGAATTCTGGTAGTTACTTACTATGTAGGCACAGGAGAGGATTTTAGTGTCTTGACATAAAATTACATGGACAATTAGAATTACTACATTTAGCTAAAAAGTAAGGGTGTGAGACTGGTCTTATTGTTTGGTTCAATTTGTACTTTGATTTATTTTTATTTCCATTTGTATAGCTCAGTTTTTTCTGGAAATATACTGAACAAAGAACCTTGACTGTTGTATCAGATGAGATACTTTCAACTGCAAATAAACATTTGTTATAACAAAATGACTTAACGAATAAATATATTTATTATTGCACATAAGTGGAAGTGGTAAAGTGGTTCCAAGGTCAGACAACTGAACAGCTCAATAATGTCATCGAGAATCCAGATTTTTCCATCTTTCTGCTCTGTCATCCTCAATGTGTTGGTACTTGTTCTCAGACTTGTCCCTCATTGTTTCAAGATGCCTGCAGTAGCTCCCAGCATAACTCCAAAGGCAGAAAGAAGAATTTGTTTTCTCTGATATATCTTATTTTTAAAGTAAGGAAAAATTTTCCCAGAAGTCTCCCAGCATATTCTTTTCATGTCACTTTTTCTAGAATTGTATCATATGACCATTATCATGACTAGTTTATATTAATTAAGCTTTACCCGGCTCACGATCACCCTCCAGGGCTGGAAAGGAGCTAAGCTCTCCCAAGGCACACAGACAGAAAGTGAACAAAACCAGGATTCTTCACAAAGAAGACCTCTGTGTGTGTGTGTGTGTGTTTGTGCGTGTGTGCATGTATTGGGAGTTGGGATGTATATGGCTCTTGGGCAACGACAAGTAATGCCTGAAAGAATTTTCTGGTGGCAGGAAGAATCAAGTGAAGATTTTGTTGTAAGAGAAGATGGTCACATATATTGAAGTGTAATACTCAGTCTGAGGCAACCATGTTCATATGGCTGTGTGGTTCTAAATAGTTGTTAGTGGCCATTTGGTTACAATGAGAACCAGAATAAGGATGATCAAAGATTTTGTTATCAGCAGTTGACAGTGCCTGACACATTTTAACAAAGTCCTTTGTTTTCACTTTCATTCCTGGCAGATGGCTTATCCTTGGAGTCTATGTGGATGATCTTCTAGACACATCTACCTGTGGGTCATGGGGAAAAATGATGAGTGGAGGTATTTTCATTCGCCTCTCCTGTCATGAAATCAGTGAATAAGCTGTTAATAAAAGTTCATCTAGTTTAACTTCTTATTTTGGGATCTTTGTAAGTTTTGGGATCTTTGCAAGTTTTATTCTCCTTTACCACCAAAATTGAGAGGTTGATGTGATAGATTGAAAACCTCAAGAATCATCTTTCAGGAAGTGTGGATGTGAGTTTAGTAAGATATTTTTCATCCCACAGATACTTGTCATTAAACTTGGCAGATAATACTATCTGTTGCATGCAGAAAGGAATATTGAATAAGAAAAAAGGTAGCTTTTGCTTCAGGAAGCTTATTATTGTCAGCAATAATCAATTACTGTTACAAACAAACTTATGGAATTAATGCAGGATGATGTTCTCATACCCCCGTCACTACAGAGTACTCTGATAGAATTGTAAACATGTTTCTGATTTAAATTACGTATTAATTGGTTCAGGCACCAAGTTGAAAGGCCTGGCACTAATGATAAAGCCAGGTAACCAGGCTGATTAATGAAAGGAGCCAGGAAGAATTTGCTACAGGAGCTGAAGCACTTTGTCTAGTCACACTAATCATTGTAATTTATTACGGGAAGCTTCTTCCATGGCCCTGAATCATAGCTGTTATTCCTTCTGTAAGAATATATTGACTTACATTTTTAAGAAGATTACCAGGGGAAAAAAAATGTTTATTTTAAAGTTGAAAAAAATAAAGTGTTATACTCCTTTTACTATGAAAGCCAAGGATGGCAAAAATAAGATGGTTGGTACAATGATATACATATCCATATTTGAAAACTTGTTTCCAATGAGAGCAATAGAGCTGCATTGGGTTACCATTGTGTGTAACATTAAAACGCTGGAAAACATTCCATTATTCTTGTAACTACACTAAGCCCTTATTATTCTTATATTGTGAATGAGATCATGAAGAGAATGAAGAAACCCAAGGATGTTTAAAAGGAGCTCACAGAAGATAGAACTGAAAGGAAAAGATGGACATCAAGGTTGTTCTTGGTCTAATTGTGTAGATAAATATAGTTTGTAATGTAAACACTTTAAATATATCTTCCTGGCCCCCCCCCACCCCCCAATTACTTATTTCTTTCTCTCTCTCATCTGACTTAAAGACATACTTCAGCTGTGTCTACAACATAAAATTTTATAGTTGTGTTCATAACACAAAATTTTCCAATTTATTTCACCTTTTGGATCAAGTGGAGGACTTGGTCAAGGAAGAGGCAGATGGTCTTTCTGGTTGTACCACTGCACCTGCCCTAGGAATACAGTTGGATTCTCCTGCACCCCTCTTGTTCTGCAAGCTGTCTTTCTTCTCCAGTTTGCTTCACATTCTCTCTCTCTCCTTTTTTTTTTTTTTGAATATTACAACATTTACTGAAGTTTTGAAAGTTCCTGTTCTGTTTTCTTGACACCTGGTAGGATTCAGTCCCCCTGGACTCTGCCTTCACTGGTGACAGTCACTTTCTCTGGCACTGCTCAATCACACATATCTGCCAGTCTCCACCATTCATTTACAGTGAGATCTAAACACTTATTTTCTGGCCAGAACTGATAAGAATTCCTAATAGTGAGGGAAACCCACTATAAGGTCTTTGTTTGGGGAAATTCCATTTGAGTGGAATGTGCAATCATTTTTTTTTTTTCAGGGGAATTTTGCCCTAATAGCTTTTGCCCATCTGCTGTCAATCTTCCTCCTTCTTTCTTCCTTCCTTCCTTCCTTCTTCACTCTCCCCGCAGAGCCCCAGTACATCATTGTGTATAATTGTAAGTTCTTCTATGTGAGCCGCCACCACAGCATGGCTACTGACAGACGAATTGTGTGGTTCTGTGCCCGGGAACTGAACCCAGGTGGCAGAAGCAGAGTGCGCTGAACCTCAACTGCTAGGCCACCAAGGCTGGCTCAGTAATGTGAAATCTTAAAGGCATGGGTTGGAAGTCAACAAAAAAAGGAATAACTAAGATGCGTAGGGTTCGCAATAACAGAAATTTAGTGGTGCTGATGCTGTAGCTATTGGTGGGGATGAGCAAGTAAAAGAGAGAAAGCTGGATGGAGGAGAAAAAATGGCTGAAATGGAATGGACATTGGACATGGCTCTTAGATTTGATGGTATCATAGAATTAAAGAAAGACATTAACCCCAACTGCTTTGACTCTAGACTCCCACCACTCAAATGATGAATCCAGAATAACAGCTCCTCTGTTTACAATTAAAGCTCTCCTCATTAGAACTGATGACATGGTAACTGAGTGTGTGAGTGTGTGTGTGTGTGTGTGTGTGTGTGTGAGACAGAGATCAGGAGAGAGAGAGAGAAAGGGAGAGAGAGAGAAGAACGGTATGGAGGATGACACCATTCTGGAGACAGCTGTGCTGCTGGTGTCACTATTCAACGAGCTGAGCTCTTTTGGAGAGGAACGAGGTGTGTTGGCAAACAGTCAGTCCAGTTTTAGACCATGTAGGGTGAGCTTTCTGTAGAGCAGCAGGAGGCCATTGGATGTGTGGGTCTGAAGCTCAGAGAGGGACTGACACAGAGACAGTTTTGGATATTTTCAGCAGGTTAGGGAGCAGTGAAAGCTGCATTTTGCTCCAGGTGGATGAGGGCATCTAGAGCAGTGTGAAGAGAGCTGATGGGCACTCAGTGCAAAGGAGTGGTTGACGAGTTTCCCTTGTGATGTCCTCTTCACAGCATGAAAACGTAGAGCATTGTGGAAAGTGAAGGAATGGGAGTAGAATGACATAACGTCATACTGATTTAGGGTTGAATTTACAGTTTGGATTATCCATTTTAACCCCAAGCACTGATTACGTTTGCCAGCAAGTTGGAAGATCCCTACTTTGCAAAGCCCAGTGCCTCCAGGACCTGGACTGTTAGCCAGTACATGGTGCTTAATAACTGGTTGTTGGATTAATGTTATAGGAGACACAGCACCAGAAAAATTAAATGGTGCAATTTTTATGTTGATGTTAAAAAATCATCACGAAGCAGTCCATAGGCAAATAATTAAAAATAAATACAATTCTTATTAGCCTTAGTCAATTAGCCAGTGCTAAGTGTGACCTCTTTTCTTTAATCCAATCATGTTGTATGTAAATAACAGGAGATATACACACACACACACACATTTATATACATATATAAACATGTAATCAGAATGTCAAAACATTTTAAATGTGAAATAGGTCTAAAATTTCCCTTTGAATATAATTTGGAAAAAAATTTTTTTGATTTCCTTTGCTTGTGATATTTTAAAAAATCAAACAAGATATACTTTGATATTTGGCACCCATTGTTTGATGCCTTTTTAGATTCAGTCTCTTCTGATGTATCACGAGTTTTCAAAAATGAATGAAAAGTTGCCAAAGGACAATCTCTGTAACCTGACCACCATCTTAGCCTCAAATTGAATTCTAAACCAGCATCCTGCTCAAATGGCCCTTCTGCAAGCATATTGGCAATTAGGAGGGACCCTCTTTTGGCCTCTGCTTTCGGTTGGTAATACTTCCTCTGGGGAAGAGAAATAACTCATGGTATAATCTACTAAAGTCCACAATTTCTTGAGTATTTCAGGCTGTCCTTTCCAAAGTATAAGGTCAAGGAATAAATCTCTACCACAGACTGTCATGAGCAACATCAGCCAGAGCCTTTGTGAAAAAGAACTTGGCATCACACAGATATACAAAGGCAGACAAAGATCTAGACACAGCGATATGTAACAATCATGTCAGGAAGAAAAACTTAAAGTACTCATGAAATAAAAGCATTTGCTTTGTAGTGACCTTAATATTAACCTATTTTCTTTATGAGTAGATATTGCCAGAATAAATTGGAGTCTCCTTGCGAAAATAGCATATTTAAAATCTTCGAGGAATTCAGTGATTTGGACACTTGGGGTCTATGTGGTTTTTATCCCCTTAAGTCCTTGCTCAGAGAGCTTTGAGGTTCATCTGTTTTCAGTTTTAGTGAAAATTTCCCAATTTATGAGTTCTGGCCTAAATCCTTGATTGGAAATTTGTACATGTTCTTTGTAAAAGACAGCCGTTACCCAGTGAGTTCTGACCTTGGCTTGGTCTTGCCTGAAGAACTCTGGCTTCACACGTAGTTCTTCTAACTTTCTGATAAGTGAAAACAAATGAGAAAGCTTGCAATACAACTTGCTTTGAATGGTCATATATTTTGAAACTTGCTAAGGCTGGTATAAAGAAGACAGAAAGCTAAATCAGCCCAGCTCAGTGTGACACTTATGAAGAAAGACTACTTGTTCCAGAAATAAAGCTAAATTTACTTACGCCAGAAAAGCCTACCTTGGGAGCAGAGTCATAAGGGCAAAACTATTTCAGAAAAGGATGGACTATTTCCAGTATCAAAGGAACTTTCTGATGTTCTGCCTTTAAGACTTAGTTCCTCTTATAATCTTACTCAGGATAAGGTTTCAGTTTATGGTGAGGAAAACGGTTGCTTGAAATGCATTATATTTTTAGTTAAACTCTTCCCTGAATTTAACTGGTGTATGTGTGTTTTAATAAACTGAGAATAATTTCTTAAACCATTGGTTAGGTTGAGTTTTGTTTTCATTTATAATGGTTAACTGCATATGTAATAGATTCATCTGAACAACGATTTTCTTTTAATTTCGATGTTTGTTAACATAGATGTTAGATTGGGTACTGGAAAGGCAGGAATTGGTTCATTCACAAACAAAAGTGTAGCTTTTATAGAAGACAGCTTCATAGTGGATGAAAATAGAACCTGTTGAAATTCTACTATCTCTATATAGTATTAGAAAAACAAGCTACTCTTTTCTTTTAATTGTGTAGCTTCTTGGATGGAGCTCTGGCATATAAAATATTTGGAGCTTAAGAGAACACACAGCAGCTTGAGTCACTATTGTCAAATGAATGAACAAATGAATAACAATAAAACCACATAATGAAAAGTTTTTCCCCTCATTTAATTCTAATATGCTATAACACAAGTGTGTTATTGCAATCTTTTCACATGTAATTAAACTATTGAGAGACAAAAAATTTTTGAGTAAATTGAAGGCCAGGGAAGGACAGATAAAAGAATACTAAATCCCACAGAGCATTTTATCAGCTTACCACTATTCTCTCTGTAGTCTGATAATAAAATGAAAAATAAGTCTAGTACTTAAAGGTCTGGTGAAAGACTGCCTGTAACTGAATAAACATCTTATTAATTATGGAAGTAGCTCTTTTATTTTCAAAATATAGTTCATGCTTTTAGAAAATGCACCAATAATTTCTAACACTTGGAAGTCAGCCACCTGCTGCTGTTCTGGTGTTTCCGACCTGACCTACATTGTTAAGAGGAGCCACTCGTACTAACGGTGGATATTACATCAGTTCGCTCTTTCTCTTTGCTGAGTCTTTTCACAAAGTTATTTAAAGACACGCTTGTGCCACCCCTAAAGTACCAAACAGCTCCATGAATGAAAATTGCCCACCATTTTGAGAATTGTCTTATACAAGGTAATTACACGTAGCCAGATATCTTGCAAGCTTAATCTTTGTGCTTTCTTGTACATGACCCTTCCTTTATTCTGTTGTGGGTATTCCCATTGCCCTGAGGAGAAATAGATTTACTGCAGAGATGCAAAGAGGAGATTTATATCAGAAATAATACTTTTGAAAGCCAAGTCTTTTGATTTGCTCGAGATTTTGTTGGGAAAAAAAAGGATCTTGAAAATTGAAAATCCTGAGACGGAATTGATGTTCTCTGGTGCCCTGAGATTCACTGAGCTCTAGGCGAGCTGCCCTTGTAGACACCTCTTTATTAACGTCGATGGGGTCTCAGAATAATCCTGACACAGAGAATGAGTTCCTTGGCTCCCAGAAGGACAGTGATGACCATGGAACAAAAAAATCTCTAACACTTGTTCTTGGAAAGGATTCAAAGTACAGAAGACTTATTCCCTTTATTTAAATATTAACACTAGCCTTTTCTTTAGCCTTCTACGTGTAGGGCAAAAAATCAGTTCCAAGACTCTCACTTCCACTGATAAAGAGGATATCTTAACATAATAATAAAAATATCCCATTTAGGGAAAAGCCTTCCATTGTAAATGAATTGTCCATCCTAGATTATGACAAACATCATTGGTGGCCAAAGAGAAGTCCTATTAGAATCGTAAACCCAGAAAGGACACTTCAGAGTTCAGTTACTTCCACATTCTACCCCACACCAGAATCCTGGCCATACCATACCAACAGTTGACATCTACTCTCTTCTTGAATAGCTTCACTGATGGAGACCTCCTCACACATTTGAGAGTCTTTTTCATTGTTGACACCTCTGGTTGCTAAGAAGAGGGTTGTTCTATTAAAGTTCCGCTACAGTATTACATCCTGTATATTTTTTGTATGGAATAAAATATAATGCATTATTGAATTGAAGGCCTTGTTTGTTAGGCAGCCAGAGGCGGAAAATATTTTTTAGGAATTTTATTGGGCATTTTGGTAGAATTGATTGCATTTTCAATATGCTACCTTATTAACACCTGAAGATCTATCTGGAAAGGAAGCAAAAATTATTAGCATCTTTTCAATTGATCTAGAAACTGAAGCAAAAGAAGTTAAGTAACTTTCTCAGTATCTCACAACCAATGGCACAGTTGGGAGAAGGTGGGAGAGAATCTTTTCAGTGGAGTGGGGGTTAAGAAGTGAGATTAAGAAAGCTTGTCTTCAAGAATCTGGCTAAGTAAATCATGGTCTGGCTGAAATTTGGTAATGTGGAATATGTTTACTTGAAACATTAGAAAAAATGCCTCATTAGAAAGGCCTTTTGAGGGGCTGACCCTGTGGCATGTTGGTTAAGTTTGTGGCGTCAGTTCTGGGGTGTGGACATATACCACTCATCAGCCATGCTGTGGTGGTGACCCACATATAAAGTGAGGAAGATTGGCAACAAATGTTAGCTCAGGGCTAATCTGCCTTAGCAAAAAAGAAAAAAAAGGAAAAAACTCTTTGAAGTTATTTAAAACTTGCATCACTGGTCAAAATTCTTAAAAAGAACAAAATGCTGTATAGTTGGAACTCCTTTGAGGTCAGGGACCTTGTCCCTGTGGCCCAGAGAGGTTTCTGAGGGTGTGATTGGCAAAGTCAACCCACAAACAGGAAAACTTCAGATTTAGAGCTGGACAGAGGCCCGTTGAGCAGAGAGGATGAGGCGAGTTGGGCCTTTGGGTGTTTGGGAGTGGAGGGGAACTCTTGTGTCCTCTCCCTGGGGGCTTGCTCTAGCACCTTGCCCAGGTGAGAGGGGAGGGGCTGCCTTATTGCCCCATCTCCTTAACAGATGGTATAGGAAAGGCAAAAACAATTTTCTTAGCCTCTGAGATCCCCCCCAAATAAGGAGAGAACAGCTTTATCCCTTAAAGTGGCTCTTGTCAGATTCCCAGTTGTGGGGAGGGGCTCTGGGCTCTGGACCGCTGGGGGTCTCAGGAGACAGTGCTGTGCACCAGAGAAGGAATGTCTAGATCTCCCCTGTGGGGCTTTGGGGGAAGGCAAGGAAGGGTCTGAAGCTGTTGTTTTAGAGCTTGCCTACAGAGCATTAAATCCTGTATAAAGGTGAAGCTGGAGGCAAAGGATGGTTTGAAATGCCAAGGCCAAAGCATCAGGCAGAGAGCAAATTGAGATCAAGGTTAAGAGAACAGGGAGCTGCCCCTGTGATCAAGTTCAGGAGGGAGCATAGGGAAAGATATAAAGATGTCAGGAAAAATCAGAGTTGTTTCAGTTGATCCTGTGGCCGTGAAAAGTGTTCTGAAAGTAGTGGTTTTCAGCAGGGGCAATTTTGCCTCCAGGGACATTTGGCAATGTTGGGAAACATTTTTGGTTGTCACAACTGAGGGTGGGGGGAGTGCAACTGGCATCTAGTGCGTAGAGGCCAGGGATGCTGCTAAATATCCTAAAATGCACTGGACAGCCCCCTCAACAAAGAATTTTCCAACTCAAAGTGTCAGTAGTCCCGAGTTGAGACTCTCTGTCTTAAGGACTCCATACACGGTCCTGTAGTTCTATCAAGGTGGAAGAATCTGCATTTCTTATACCTCGTCTTCTTTGAGGGCTCTTGCTGCGCATTCCTTTCCGGATTGAACTTTGGCGGTATGATTCAGTTCCTCACATGGGCCTGTGGCTGCTAGGCTGGGTTGGACATTGTTCCAGGATGTTCGTGCCAGTGTCACGCTGGCCAGAGATGATCTTGGCTATCATCCCTGCTCAAGGTGACATTGGGAGTGCCTCAGTTTGCTATGGTTTACTGGTTCATGTCTGACCTGTCCTGCCCTCATCAACTGGCCACTGACTCTCGGCCACCTTAATAATCTTCAGATCTTTTCTTTACCTGTTTCTGAGATGATCATTTACCTGACAGCATCAGCGCTAACAGTGATCTGGTCCAGCCCCCTCATCAGTTGTGGAAATTGAGGTCCCTTTGCACCATACTTGCCCAAGGTCGAATCATCTCTCGGGTAACAGGCTTCAGTTATTTCAGAACTACACTGAGGCATGGGGCTCTGCATTCCACGTTTCCTCAGTATCTGCTCTCTCCTCCACATGCAAGAACTGCTGGGTAAAGTTTGTAGCTAATTTGTTCTTGCTGCAAACTCTTCAAACTTTATGTGCCTAACTTCTGATGAAATGTTTGTGCTTGGACCGTGCTGTGAAAACAGGTATGTATTTTAAATGCCTTATTGAAAATCACTGTGGAAGATCAAGATTTCCTGTGGAGAGAAGACACTTCTATTTTCACCAGCCCGGGAGGAAGCCCCACACAGAGTAGGGAGCACGGGGTCTGTGGCTATCGACGTGCTCATGTGGACTTGGTGAAGTGCCAGAATAGCTTTCCTCACCTCCCTGGGCAGGGACCTGTCAATCCACAGCCATCTCCTGTGCTTGCAGTCAAGATAACACTGAACTCTCTGGTCTAGTTCTTTTCTTGGAAGGAAGGAAAGGTCCAAAGCTGGGAATAGGTCATCAAAGCTCTTAGATGGAGAAGGGGGTTTGGAGGAAGGTTAAGGTGGAAACGAAAGATCCCAGATTTGCCATCCAAACCAACCCATGGGCAGATTTAGGATAAGAAATCTATTATTGTGTTTTGGATGTTTTTCCCACTTAAGAGTATGTGTCTGTGAGAGAAAGTGTTAACTACAAAAAAATTCTAATAGTGCTAAGTACACAGGGAAAGATTTTCTTTTTACACTTAGGTCAAAAACCTAGGATGCCAGGGTGCCCCTAAAGCTGGGGTTGGGGGTGGTGGGCAAGTCCTCCTCAGGTTCCTGGCAAAATAAGGGGTCTTGGTCATGTCTGGACTCTTGGACGACCATTTCTGCATTTCATTCATTCTCCCACGTTTGAGAAATTTCAGCTGTGCCCTTTACTGATCTCAATAAACAGAAGCAGATCTATTTTTCTGGTGGATATTTGACAATGCAGGGGAAGTCAGTTTTTACAAGCTTTACTCTGTATCTCTGCATGTGCCTATTTTGCCCTTGCAGGATGCTCCAACTTATGAAGAGGCTGTGTTCCAGAAGTTCATCTTAGATCAGGATTTCTGAACTGGACCAGCTTGTTAATGGGCTTCTAGGGACCACTGAAATCCCTCAGTGTATGAGCAAAATTCTGCGTGTATGTGCCGATCACATCATTTCTGGCCAGGAAGTCCACTGTTTGCCTGGGATTCGGAAAGGATGCTTTGACTCCCTGATGTTAGAAACACTGTTTGGTAATCAGCTGTTTGGAACTTTTAATGCATAAGTCAGAAATGGATTCTGCTTCAGGAAGCTTACAGCCTAGCCAGGGAGATAAGACGTGCATATAAATAGCTGCAAAGGTTTGACAAAATGTTCTGGCCATTCTGAGAAAAAGAGATGACTTTGGGCGGTGGGCATCAAAGCCAGCTTAATGTTTTTTCAGAGTGAATCGGGGCTATGCAGAAGAGCAAAGGAAGGAGCGACTTTGAGGCAGTGAAGGAAAGGGTGAGACATTTACAAGTCAGACATTTGTAAACCTCTGTCTTAGGGATATGAAAGTAGCCAAATTGTATTTATGGCTACAAATACTGTTTCTTCACCAAATATGAAAACCAAAATAGAGCTATACTGACTTCACTGTTCTCCCCATTAGACCACATGGGTATCATTTGTTAAGAATACTTTAAAAAACAGACATTGGCCTTCATTTCTTAGTACTGTGACTGAGTATGCTCTCATTAAGTCATATTTAGACAATGAGAAGCTCAGGTTTTTGCCACGGCACACCTGGAAATTGGAGCTGAAAGCAGAATGTCACCCCCTCTTCAGTGGCCTCCACCCTCTTTATCCCTGTGTACAGTCTAGACTGAAGTGACATTCTCTGACCACTAGATGGCACTCCTGCCTAGGAGAGCCGAACTGATTTCCCAAGGATGGGGCTGGGCTCGACTGATCTTCCCAACCCCTCAAGGAGGGCTGCCTGCTAAATGAGCTGATGAAGGAGGCAGAAGGTGACATGGAGTTGTGTGAAAGAGACTTTCAAGAAATCAAATCGATGATATTTCAGGCGACAAAAAACAGGAACTGCCTGTCTGCTTTTCAAATTTACATTTAAAACAATTTGAGATGCCACAGGCAGGACTGTCACTGGGCCACAGGTGTGGTAGATAAATTAGTATGCACAAAACTGGATTCTCAACTTCCTCCAAAGCTGGCTCTTCTACATTGCTGTTTCTCTGACTGGGACCTCCTGTCGTCCAGGCTCCTGGGCTGACTTCTGAATTACGTCTTTGAGTCCTCCGTCTTCCTTTCCCGCATCCTACCAAGTCCTGTGGTTTGTTCCTTCAGACTGTCTTCTGGATCTCCTATTTCTTGTCGTTCTCGCTACCATCACCCCTGTATCATTTAAGTGGCAATTACACAAAAAAAGATTAATTCAGTAGCCCCTTGGTCTAACCCTATTTTTCCCCCTTTCAGTAAAGCCTTTTATTACTGAGAGAGCTTATAAAATATTGTTTAATCCCAGGCGTTTATTCATTGATTCATTTTATTTACTCCTTTGACAAATATCTCCTGACCTCCTCCTCAGGTTGTTCTAGACACTCTGTTTGACTAGGAAGGATTTCTCAAAGATTCCTGACCGTGGATCCCTGCCCTCAGGGAGTTCTCGTGCCAGTCCCCAACTCAAGACTGGATAAGCCTGAACGGTCTCTGAGGACAGAAGGAGTGACTTCCTGTTTGGCAACTGCCTTCAGTTGACTGAAATTTTGATGATTGGTTGTTGACTTGGTCTTTCTTCTGTTATTATTTTGTGATTAGTAAATAG